AGAATCCTTTCTATACTAGAATCTTCCTTCCTATTGATGTTTTCAGTGAATTCAACAATTGACATTTTGCATATCTGCCAAGAACGAGATGAATTTTCCATTGAAGGCTCTTCGATCTCCAAGCCGATTTAACTTCGTAATATTATAAGGACTACTTCATTAAATTCGATGATCGAACCCGTCGAATAATAGCGAATAATCGGTAGGTAATACGTAAAGGAAATAATTAAATTAAATGAAATTGCCGGTTATTAGTTTAAAATACATAATTATACAAGATATTTGATGTACCTACCTAATAATTAGTTGCCCAAATTCAAGTGTTATTTATTAAACTATTTTTAATTAAACAACCAATTATTTAGAGTGTTTCCATTCCAGAAATGCGAAATTTCAGCGAATTTAACTAACCAGGTAAATAAATAACATCAGAGTAGACTGAGTTCGGTTAATATTTTTTAATGCATTTAAACAATAAATCTGCAAAATAACATTTTGCAATCACATTTGGCCGTATTTTCACAACATTCACCGAGTTTCTATGTATGCCATTTTTTAAATCGAGCTCCCAATTATTTAGAGAAATATATTGTTTTAATTTCAGCAAAAATGCGAAAAATAATGAAAAAACAAATCGCATAACGTATTTTTTTTTCAATGCACATCATTATCTACTACGTGGATAAACTGAATTTTAGAGGTAAATCCTGTATAAATTCTTATAAACTGTTCCTGACAGCTCATCCTGCGTTGTTTGCGTCGGAGTTTCGAATTAAATTTAAAATTAATTATATTTACAATCAACGCAGTGTATATATTCTCCAAAGTTTCGTAATTAATATGTTTATTGAAAGTAGCAGTTTAACACCTCTGGGACAATACCCGTCATATTTAATTATTCAAAAATGTAAGTAATAAAAAATCTTAAATGAATCTCTTGATATGCCCTGTAACCGATAAACGCTTTTGATCCATCAGTAGTATTGAATTTCTGACCAATTGTCCTGCAGATCAATTGTCCTTTCGACTAATTATTCTGCCAGCCAATTGTCCTGTCGATTTATATAATTTTCCTGCTGACTGACAGGATTAATTTATGATAGTATAATAATAATATTCCTTCCTATATGTTCCTATAATGTTCCTTCATATTATAGTTATTTAAACAGTTTATATATCATTGAGAGCATTCAAACCCCGAAAGAAAAATTGGAATTGTCGTCGTTATATTGCCGTGAAATTTCAAAGACAAATCGCCGAGCGCAAACGGAAAACTAAATACTCATAAAATTGCGCAGAAATTTCGCACATATTGCCCGCATATGCAACCCTCCTAAATTTCCATACATACAGGCGGAGGCGATGCAAGAAAATATAAATCAACAACTAAGGTTCTTTATAACTTTGATGGTGATAATTTTCCGTCGCTTTATTTTTATCCGGGACCTCTACGTTTCGGTTCGGTGATGTAATGCGACATCGAAAATAAGGAGAGATATTGCGGTTTATATTGTGACATAAATTTCAGTTAGGCTGGCGTCCCTCTCTCTAAGTATATGAGCTAAGACATAGTTCTGGAAATGAGAAAAGAGAAACTTCCGATAAATTTATATTTTCGCTGAAACTCCGGGCGAAACTTTTTAAGCGGAATCTAAAGCCGGATGTACACCGACGTGCCTCAATATCGTCGGGATTTTTAATAAAGCGGAAATGGAAAACACGGATTTATTGCCATCGACAACTCCATTCATACATACAATATGTATTTTTTTGTCGCAAGTCGCTGGTGAAACTATTATAAAGCAACTCTGTAAAAAAAACCAGCAGGGATCTGTAAAAATGAATAACTTTTTTCATTATTTTATATGATTTTAGATTAGTTTCTAAAAAAATTGTGCTTTTGGCAACGCTGTTTACCGTAACTGGATAAAATGGCCTTTCATTCATTCAACAAATTCAACAAATTCCTGTTGAAATACCCGTGTGTGAAAAAATCTGATACATAATTTTCCATTGTTAGCACATCTTGTGTATTCTAATCGTACAAACAAAAATTTATGCCGCTTCGATAATGATTTTAGTCAGGCTGCGTGTATTTTTGGGGTTTTGGGAATAAACCGAATCCGATGAATTTATAGCCGGAATTCATCAAACATGGCACATTTTAATACCTGCGTCCTAAATGCGCGGGTCGATATGTTTCGGTAGAAAATCCCTAATTCGTATCCCTGAAGGATTAAAAAAGGGGTTGCTGGAAGAGCCGAATTTAATCCGAATTCGAATGAAAACTATAAAAATGAAGTTACTCACCTAGTCCTGAACTCATTTAATCACCGGGATAAAGAATGATGGATGGTCCACTTGCAATGCAAATCCATAATAAATTTTCCTAAAAATTTCTATATTTTATTTCTTCCTACATTTCCTTCTCTGATTTAGATACCTATTGAGTTCTCATGTTAAGTAATTGCATTGTTATTGTCGCCAGTAATTCTGGCACCAACGATTTTTAACCTCAAGTTCGATTGCAGCATCATAAAAATCTCGCTATAAAATCGCTATCAAATGATTCCAGATAAACGTTCGTTTTACCAAATAGTTGCATGTACGAAAAAAATTGATGGTTGCAGTGGTAAAATAAAGCATAAGCTGGAAGAAATTTACGACATCATTAGAAATGCTCCTTTCGAAGGATATAATAGGTGTTGAAAAATCCCCGGTGTTTGCCAGGATCCGGACGAAAATAAATTACATTATAATGGAATCTGATATTTCGAAAAATCTCATAAAAAACATAATTCAAAATACGTCTAGCCGGCTTTGCGTTTCGACACTTTATTCCAGATTTCGTATTTTTATTGAGATTTCTCCCGTCCTTTGAGAAATATGTATGAGTAAGTAGCGGTGGGAAGGAAACGTGTTCTTCAATTATTTAAGGTTTTTTTTTTCTCTTTTATGTTATCGGAATTTTCGATGATATAAAGCTTGATTTAAAGTTATGAAAATATTAAAATTTTCTTTTTAGGGGCTTTTATAAAAATTGGTTATATCGAGGTTATTTTAATATAACAAAAATATACCAATTTAGAACTATGCGAAAAATAATTTATTCATTTTAATAAATGTTTGGTTTATGCTTTAATTTAAAAGGGAGTTTGCAGGTTTGTCAAGTTTCAAGATTCATTTTACATCACTTACATACAAAATCCCACTTTTATGAGAAAACCGGCAATTTAGGCACCCTTCTTTTGCCAAGGGATGAATTTTAAAAGTTTTTTTAGGAGTTCTGATATATTTTACGAGTTATTTTTGTTGATTAAGACGATTTCAGAATGGATTAAGAGATTTTTTTAATTCAATTTAAATTTTCTATAACAAAAATCGATTAATCGCACAATTTCATTACAAGCCAACACTTTGTTAACGATAATAATTGTCGAAATATTCCAATTAAAAAAAATCAGCAGTAAAGCGAAACATTCCCTGCGCGAAAACAGCGCCCAAAAGAGAAAAAGTTGTTTGCTCGAAAATGTGCTACAAACAATTTTTGATTTAAAAACGAGCACTTTGTTCCGCTTATTACTCCACATCGTCGGCTACTCGTGCAGTTTTAATTCAACTGCAGCGTAAAATCGCGTCGGGAAAAACCGAATTCATTGTAAAATACTATTATAGGTGATCGGATAACGGCTGGCAGGAAACCAAGAGGGAGTTCCGGTCGGCGCCGGATCCCCCCTTTTTTTCCTAATGAAAAATTGTTTTGCCCAATAATACATCCCGAGTTGGAAGTATAATCCACGCCGGGCAATTAGATCGGTTGTTCGTGAGAAGTTGAGGCAATTTTCGGAGGGTGTTCGGGAGAGATTGGGCGCCCGGACCAAATGATTTAGCAATTCTTTACTGCCAACCCCCCGTTTACCTAATGGGCTAAAAGAATTTATTTCAAATTAGATTAGGATGAAAATTAATTTAGTCCCGGATATAATTTAAAACGTACCATTAACTAGTTTAACCATAACTAAGTTAATCAATAACAGTGAAGTCGTTACGGTCTTTATTGTGATCTTCACCAAGTCTTTAACAAAAAATTAAAAAGTCTGATTTAAATTTACTAATTTAACATGCATGTTAAATGCTGGTAAATTTCTTTGGATTTATTAAAGAAACTTAATCAGTTTCGTAGCTGTGTGTTCATTATAGTTGCATAATTGCTTTTATTCCGCGGAATACTTCTCTGTTTTCTGGTTTGCTTGTGTTCTCTCATTTCCACGCAATTAAATTATAAAACGCCCGAGCACAGAGTAATTTAACATCTAGATTGGGGAAAAGTCAGATTTCGTTATTAATTGAGTGGACCGAACGTGAAAACCAAATATTTGCGAAACTTTTGCGAAAAATTCTATTTCTATTTTTCTTAGAGATTCTAAAGTTTTTTTCTGTTTCCCGTTTACTCTAAAATCCGCTTTTTATTAAATTCCATTATTCGTAGTCCACGTTCCGGAATTTGAATATAATGCGTCAGTTTCTGCATATTTTTTATTTCGGACGCAACTGGCAGATTATCCGGCAGAAAAGCTGCAATATATTTCAAAATAAATAGTAATGCCGGCTCGGCTGATAGAAAGCTCGAGTAGGAAGGATTTTACGGATCTATTTATACGCAACGAATTTTTAATCTGCAAAAAAATGTATTCATTGTATATCGTATAATTGATTTCGAGCGCGCGGAATAATTTCCTTAGTTTCGGACCTCGTTAATAAATCTTAAAATAGCTCGACTCTATTAGAGGCTAAAATGCCCGGAAATTGATTTCCGACTAAACTGGAAGATTTACCGCTGATTGGAAAAGGGGGTATTAGGAGGTAAAAAGGGCAATTCGTTTCTTTTATCTTGTCTCTGCGATAAAAATCCCCATATTTTAATTTGCCTTTCAAAAGATAATTCAACGTATAAGTACATGAAGACTGCTATTCCCAGCTAAAATTATAAATTGTTACAGGATGCACAGCAAATCTTCCTCCAATTTTTACAATGGATATGAACAATCTGGTGCTACCGGAGACTATTCCTATCGAAAGCGATATTTTCACACTGCAAGGAACCGATCCAGAAAATAGTCCTGTTTATTTCGGTATCGAAGGAACTGACATGTTAAAAGTTAACAGGACCACTGGTGTCGTGACAGTCGTCAAACCATTAGATTATGAGGTAAATAATTATTGAATTATAAGGAGCCCAAATAAATGCATATATGATAGAAAAATTTTGTTATGTTAGTCGAATATAATTTCCAACTGTTTGGAAAAACAACAGTAGCTCTTAAATATTCATCATTTATTTTCCAGACAAACAGCACACTTAATATAATTGTGAGCATTGAGGACGAAGTTGAAGGAGGAAAAGGGAAAAATAATATCGTCAGAATTCCAATAACGGTGATTATATCAGACGAAAACGACAACCCTCCGGAATTCATTAGGGTATGTAAATTCGATATTACCATTTCTAATACCTCTAACGTTTTTTCGCCAAATACGTTTCACGTATACGTTTAAAAAAATTATTTTAATTCGCCGGAAACCGCCGGATTTATACGCGACGTTAATTTTTCCGATATTTTCTCCGGCCAGGTGCTTGACCTATATTTTTGCAGGCGCCGTACGAAATCACGGTTAACGAGGACGCCGCGCCGGGGGCAAAAGTATTTTCAGGAATTATGGTTGTTGATAAAGACACGGTAGGATCCTACATCGAGGTCGAATGCATAAATTCGCGCGCGGATCCTGATGCATGCGAAATCTTCGACGTGGAAGCGCTCAACTCCGAACAGCATTCGTATTCAGGCGCCATAACGCTACACAGAAAATTGGACTATAATGAAAAGGACACCTATTATTTTTCCCTCAAAGCCTCGGTGAGACCCTTGTGAATATTCATTTTTTTACCTCCATTTTCTTACCCCGATTATCTCATTACATATTTGCTTATTATTAGGACGGTGAATTGACTAGCACAACAAACGTGACAATACACGTTGGAGACGTTCAAAATAAACCCCCTTATTTCGTTGGAAATTTAACGGCTGAAATTAAGGAAGACGCTCCAATTAACACCCTCATAATGACGATCCACGCCGAGGACGGTGACCGGGGAAACCCCAGAGAGATATTTTATGAATTGCAAAATAGTAAGTACATAAAAAGATGCATATTTTTATTTCCTCTATTTAACTTCACATAGCAACGTGTCAAGGAGCTCGAACTTGTTCAACAAATTTATTCCACCGTGCTTCCACTTTGAAACCTTTAATTAAAAATTTTCCTTCTCCCTTAAAAGCAAATAAAACAGATATAATTAATTGACGAAAAAAAAGCACCTTAATCTTGTTTACATTCGCCTTCGGCTAATTAACCCGCTAATTACCCGACATTCTAACTGTGTCAGCTGAATTTCACCTCGAACGCTAACAAATCCAATTGTCATATTCGCAGATCTCATGGACTACGTCCTATTGGATTCAGTTAGCGGCGAATTGAGGACGGCCCGGCCTATCGACAAGGAATCCATCGACAATCCGGAGGGTATACTGAAATTTGCAGTGAAGGTAATTAATTTATTGACTCGGATGTAAGCCTATCAATAAGTCAAGTGAATCTTGATTAATAATAAACCGTTCGAATCGGAAATCCGGAACTATAAAATGCGCTGGAAATTAATAGTTGGAGTAATTAAATTTTTAATTATGTACGGTAAATGAATAAATGATTGTTGACTATTCAGCACGAAATGTCGGGATTATCTTACTGTATATATCGGTTTGTAGACTGATTGTAATTTTGATTAATATTCTTTGAAGGCATACGAGCTTATTAACGGTATAAAAGCGAGCGATCCCTCGACTTTCGCCTCCGCCGAAATTACAGTGAAGGTGCTAGACGTAAACGACGAACCCCCGAAATTCAATAAAAGAGAGTATTCCGTGGAAATCCCCGAAAACATTGAGGTTGGCTCGGCACTGCCGGGCCTCGATATGACCGTCAGCGATCCCGACGAGGTAAGTAATCGCAGACTCACGCCCTATTTCTCCCCAAATTAAATCCCCCCGGGCGGCGCGAAATTTATTCGAAAAATTTCTCTCGAAAGGGCAACAACGCCGCGTTCTCGCTGGAATTGAACGACATATCGGAGGTGTTCTCCATCGAGCCGAAGACCACCATCGGCTCGACCCCCGTCACCATCCGCGTGGCGAACAGCTCGCTGGACTACGAGGACTTCAACCAAAGAAAATTCATCATCCTGGTGGTCGCCAGGGAGTTGTACACCAAACAACGGCTCTCATCCACGGCTACAGTCACGGTAACTGTACAGGACGTTAACGATAACGCTCCGCGCTTCGACCAAGAAAGCTATTCGGCCACGATCTCCGAGATGTCCGCGCCCGGAACTCTGGTGACCGCCGTCGTCGCTAGCGATAGAGACGGCGGAAAATTCGGAGAGAACGGCATCGTCTACACCCTGGCCGGCAACGGAGCGGAGAAGTTCTCGATTAACAACAGAACGGGCGCCGTGACCGTCGCGGATTGCTACCAAGCCGGCACGACTTTCTGCTTGGACTACGAAACGAAGCCGGAATACCGGCTGCAATTATCCGTAAGATAAATCGATCGCGTCTGGTTTGATTAATCGCTTTTGAAATGATTTTTAGGCTATAGATGACGATGGTAAAGGACAAACAACCGCCGTTCCTTTGACCGTGCATCTAACAGACAGTAACGATAACGCTCCCGTTTTCAATCAGCCTTTCTACAGGGCATTCATAAACGAAGGATCGGTTAAATTCCAGCCGGAGCTAATAGTGGAAGCCACAGACTCCGACAGGACGTCTCGCGTGTCCTACTCAATCATAGCCGGTAATAACGACGGATTATTCAGCATTATTCCTTCGACAGGAGTCATTAGAATAAATAATAACAGAGGATTGGATATCAGCAACGAAACGGATAATGTAGTTTCGCTGACTGTGATGGCCAGCGACGGGCAATTTACCACTACCGCTGTAGTTAATATCACCGTTCTGGACATCAATAATAACGCTCCCATCTTCACTAAACGTTATTACGTGGAAACAGTCGAGGAGAGTTTACCGATCGGTGAGCGGATTTCAACTCGCAAAATTCCCACGAACGATTCAAAACGCATTTCTTTTCACAGGCGCCTCGGTGCTCCAACTCCAAGCCACCGACGCCGATAACGGAGAAAACTCCGCGGTGGAGTATTTCCTGGCGAAAGGGGCGTACGACGATTTCAAAATCGACAACACCACCGGGGTGATTTCTGTGGCACAGAAACTCGACTACGATCGAAGGAATACTTACAACATCGAGGCGATTGCCGTCGATCACGGCGAGCCCAGCTTAACGGGCGCCGCTAACGTAACCATAACGGTTATTAACGTTAACGATAAAATGCCCTATTTCGTGCCCGCTACGCAGAAAATTGAGGTAAGTAATTTCGTAAATTATACACTACTTTTACAAGAGCTTTTCAACATGTACAATAAACATTTAATAAGAGACAACTTCTAGTAAATGAATTCGATGTATTTTTTAAAATGTATAACTTACCTTTCAGATATTAGAGGACGTTCCGGTAGGGACGGTAATATACACTTTAATAGCGTTGGATCCGGATGTAAATTCTTCGGAAGCGTTGAATTTCGCAGCTACCGAGCCTTTGACGGCACTCGATAAGCACGGAAACGAAGTAAGCGATGATCGATTTAAAGATTTCTTCTCGATCGATAAAAATACGGGTCAAGTGAGCGTGGCTAATCCTCTATTGAGAGACGTAGCGGCGGAGGTTAGAATAACCGTGTTAGTAACCGATATAACGGCAACGAACGTGCAGCAAGGCGAAGGATTGTTGAAAATTACAATCGGCGATGTTAATGATTCTCCGCCGACGTTCCTGCCGCCCTGGACGAAGGAAAACCCGGTGTATCATTTGGAATTGAAGGAAGAACAACCCGTCGGAACGATAGTGGCTACTTACAAAGCCATCGACGAAGACTCGGACATAGCGGGTTACATAATTCACCCGAAATCCGAGCATTTCGAGATAAACAACGGTACCGGAATCGTACAAATAAAAAACAAAATCGACTACGAACAAATCAAATCGCTCAACTTCACCATCATGGCATTCGACACCGGACATCCGCAGCTCAACGCAACGGCAACAGTTTTAGTCACCGTCGTAAACATCAACGATAACAGCCCGGCGTTCGTCGAGAGGGAATACAAGGCGTCCATCGACGAGAACTCTTCGAACGGCTCGTTCGTGGCGGCCGTCAAAGCCGTCGACAAAGACGCCGGGAAATTCGGCCAGGTCGGCTACTATTTAACGGGCGAGCACAGCGAGCATTTCGCCATCGACAACGCAACCGGCTACATATCGGTGGCGAATTCGCGATTCTTCGATCGCGAGACGATCAACGAAACCGTCATCCAGGTGGTGGCTCAAGACGACGCCCCGGGCAATTTGCGGAGATCCGCATCGGCGCCCGTGCACATCGCCATAAACGACATCAACGACAATCGCCCGATCTTCGCTCAAAACGAGTACAACGTTTCGGTGATGGAAAACGTGCGATTAAACCCGCCGATGCCGCTGATACAGGTGAACGCCACCGACGAGGATTCGGGGGTTAACGGAAACATTCATTACAGCATCGTAGCCGGGAATGATAACGGTACGTATCAATTGCGCGAAAAGTCGGTAGGATTTCGATTTGCCAACGCCTGCATCAAAATCTGGAATTGTTCTAAAAAGGGTGATTAACTTTCCGTTCCAGACGTATTTCTTCTGGGCGTCGAAACGGGCATTCTCTACCCGCACAAGTCCCTGCTGGGCCAAACAAGGAATTTCCATTTGAGCGTCGAAGCCAGAGACGGGGCCGGTAATGGGCAATTGTTCGACCGGGCCGCAATTAATGTGCACGTCTTAAATGTTAACGAGCACAAACCCGAGTTTATTATGCCGGCCCTTCCGAACGCCACGGTCGAAGTGCTCGAGGTAAGAATGAAAAAGCGCCGGAGCGTAATTGGGCGTGAGGGCGATTCGTAATGGGGCGATAGCGAATTTTTCATTCGGCCCGTGCATTTGTAGTTTCACGAGCATTTCGGTTTTCAGAACGCCGCCACGGAGAATTACCTCGTGATGACCGTCAAAGCGACCGATAGAGACGAGCACGAGAACGGCAGGATTACCTATCATCTCAAACTCGAAGATGAAAACGTTCAAGAAACCGCGGAGTTTTCCATCGATTCCAATACGGGCGAACTTAGAACCAGAAAAATGCTAGACAGGGAATTCCAACCCAAATACCAAGTAAGTTATTCGTATTTATGAAAAAGTAATATTCTAATTAAATTGTTTTAGCTTGTTTTGGTAGCAAGAGATCACGGTTCGCCTAAATGGTACGAAACGATCCGTTACTTAACCGTCCTGTTAGTAGACGAGAACGATAACCGGCCGGAATTTCCCGGATCGAAATCGACGAACCCTTATCACTTTTACGTATCCGAAAACAACGATAAAGACATGCTAATCGGTAAATTCACAACCAATCTTTTTAACAATCTCTATTACCTATTTAATTAAATTTCCAGGTCAAGTGAAAGCTCTGGATAGAGACGAAGGTAATCACGCTAAAGTGTACTACTATATCATAGCAGGAAACGAGGATTCTTCGTTTTATTTGGACCGATCCGGCGGCGGAGTGTACGCCAACAGATCGTTCGATAGAGAAGAAAAAGACGAATACGATCTATTAGTTATAGCGACGAACGATCCTAATTACATACCGCCCGCGGATCAATCGGAAATCGACGAAGAAGACAGAAGCGTGGCGCGGGTGATCGTCACCATCAGCGATTTGAACGATAACCCGCCGAAGTTCGAGCAATCCCTCTATTATTCCGCCGTCAACGCCATGGCGAACATCAACGATTTCATAATTAACGTAACGGCCGCCGATCCGGATTTCGGCGTTAACGGTTCCGTTACCTATTACATAAGGGCCTCGAATTTGTACAAGTTCAATTCCAACAGGAGCTCCGGCTCGGTTATACCGTCGCCGTTCAACATATCGGACCGCGGTGAGGTTTTCACGGCCACTTACTTGGCCGAAAACAACCAACACAGATTCGCCATCGACGTGATTGCCAGGGAAAACGCCTTCCCCGAAAGGCAAGCTTCCACCAGGATTTATGTGAGTTTTTGCTGTACTTGTTATTTTATTAGTACTCACGAAGGGTAATACTGTAGGTGTGGATATTCGAACCGGAACAATTGATACGAGTGATACTATCCAGACCGAAGGAAGAAGTGATTAAGGAAAAGGACGAGATCCTAGCGGAATTGAGCAACGCCACCCAAAGTCTAGTAATAATCGATAAAATCCGCTATCACATCGATGATAACGGCATCAAAAACGAAGACTGGTAGTTACTACGCCAGACACTAAATCCTTATAGTACTGCTTACGTTAAATTGCAGGTCCGATTTGTACATACTAGTCGTTAATCCCAAGTCCCAATCGATCCTACCGGTGCCGGAGGTACTAAAAATAATCGATTCGAAGTACGACTTCCTGAAGGATTATTACGCTGGCTTTGCCATAGAAAACGTCCTGCCGGCGTTCGTGACTGAAAAGGCCGAAACCTTCGACGTGTCCTTAGTAGTACTGACCGCACTTTTGGTCGTACTAGTCGTCGGTATACTCACCTTCCTGATCGTCTGCTTATGCTTGAGGCACTGGGTTCTATCACCGTCCGATTTGAAGAAGAAAGACGCCCTGATTAAGAAGGCTATCATAGACGATTTGAACACCACAGAGAATCCCCTATGGATCGAACAGTAAGTTCGCGAGGCGCTAGAAAATTAATCGTAACTCTCACGCGTTTTTGTAGGAAATTAAAAATTTACGAAGAACAAGAATTAACTATGCAAGTTTTCAGCGAACCGGAACAAAATCTGGCCAACAGGAGGAACAGCGATGATTACATCAACGTAAATATTGAGTAATAATTGCGTTGCAATGCTTTTTAATCGCTTGGTGAACGTTTCAGGAAGACAACGCGTACGCCACGATACAGCATCCTAACCGAAGGTCCTCCAGCCATTTGGCAACCATGTCCTTGGGAGAGGATTTGGCCGATTACGCGACGTTGCCGGGCCAGCGCCACAACATAAACGAAAGCAACAACAGCTCATTGAGAGGAGGATCTAACGTAACTACAATCATTCTTCTAGTTGTATTAGTTAAATCATTGGAATTTTTTTCAGTATTACGAAGCCGCCATGGGTTTTCAGGGCTCCACGTTCCAAGTGCCGGAGCGATTGAACGCCGAGTACAGTCCCTACGGTGTCAAGTACGAAGGGTCCGAGCTGACGATCAACAAAGACCATCAACCTGATTACGTTGCTGAATTGATATAAATCTGATTTGAAGGGAGGCGGCTGGAGATTTCTGTAGGCGAGGGAAGAGAGGGCGGTTGAAGGCGGTCTTTGCAATTTCTCTACTAAATTCGGTTGAAGTATTATTAAAATTATTATTCATGTGATAGAACCGTTGTGGAAATAGGAATTTTGGTAGACTCTGCGATGCTGAACCGCTTCAGTATTTTCCTATTAGTCGTACAATTTGTAAGTTAAAATTTCCACTGGCACAAGCTGCCTGGTCTGAAAAATCTGTTTCAATTTCCTATATAGTTAGGTACAAACTTAATTAAAAATTTTATTTATTGCTCATGTAAATATGTACTCGGCAACTATATAAAAGATACCTTTATATATCTTTACATACCTTTATATTGACTGGAGATGAAAGATAATTATGCACCGTTGCAATTAACAGTTGAATTAAAACATTGCACCATTTACACTCGTTAAGTATTCACCATATAAGCATAGATTTTGTTGTAATGAAGCAGACCAAAATATTGTGGTAAAATAACTTTGCACAAAACAGCAAAAAGGATACTTCTACCCCTTTTTTTAAACAATATCAAGTCCCTCTATTAGAGCGCAAGGTGTAATAAAATGTGTTAATTATAGCACCTGGTGCATAAATCATCTCTGCTATTGACTTTATGTAACTAATCAAGATAAATAGTTTATTATAGGTACTCAAATGTAATGTAAAAGCAAAACACTCTACCTACCTCCCTTTGGATATATCGGGCTGCGAACTGGTAAGATTAGTGTGATTGATAGAAACGAAGGAATCAATTTATTAGAATAACGCGATCTGCGTAAATTGATTCGAAATGAATCGTAGATCGGTTGCCAACAAAACTGACAATATTAATTAAGGAAAGTGATGTTCTAGTTGGTTGAACCTTAAATTATTTAATAATCCACATTATATAGACAACAGGTTCGAGACTTTTTTTAATAAACGAATTTATTTATTGTTTTAATTTTTATCGTATTAGATAGCATGAACGGCCATATCACTATAGGAACTTTTAACGATTATTATTTTGTATTTTTTTATATCATAGAGACTTATTATGTACACATGTTTGTAAATACGAAATAAAATATCTTTATGTATAACTGCGATTTCATTCAATGTGAAAGAAATTATGGTAACTATAAATAACATAAAGCGATAGGCCTGTCCCGCTTCGGTTTCCAATGCACAATTTTTGATACAAACTGTATTGAGCGCAGAGCACTGGAAACTAGATACCTAAATAAAATCATCTTAAACTCGAGCGTTTTCCCGATGCAATTTATCCCAAAACAACAAACGATCTTGCTCTTCGTACGGAGTAATTCTAACAGTATTCCCGATATTCAGAACGTTGTCTATCGGCTCTTCGTTTCCATTAGGCTTCCATATCACCGAATTGAACAATTCTGTAGGCGTCGGAGTGGGATCGGACCCCCGGGCGAAATTCGTCCAAAGTTTAACGAATCTCTGTATGTAAATATCCTCGTCGCTGCCCTCGACGATCTTCGGCGAGAGGCTGTTGCGTAAAATGTAGAACATATCGTCGCCGTGGGCGACTCCGTGGACGCTCTTCACCAGCAGTTTCTTGCGCATGTTCTTGAAGACGTCCGTCATGAAGGATTTTCCCGACCATTTGATGAACATGTTGTACATTCCCACTGCGAACAAGCCGTTGGATTGGCAGCACATCGTCAGGAAATTCAACGGGCTTTCCACCGACATTTTGTACACGTAAATCGGTATTTGGCTGTGCTTTTTCAGGAGATTGATCGTCTGGTGGATGCCGTACAGGAACAAATTGTCGCTGTTTAACTGTAATAAACGAGATGTTTGGGTATTGATAAAGTGTGTCTATCGAATAAAAAGAAAAAGCCGATAATGATGTTTGTAGAGGTGTGGAACTTTTATTGAAGCGTTCCAAAATAACGATTAATTAGCATCATCGGCGGTTTTTCTTTTTTAGACTACGTGAGTACTTACAACAAATCTAATGTTAATATTTTGCATTGACATATCCTTATCTTGGTAGTAAAACTGTTTCAATTCATCGGCGATTTTCTTGGCTTTTTCGCTTTCGTGGGGAATATTCCAATCGTGCGGGATATCGGTTTCCAGAGAATTCGGCAATTTTAGTTTCGGATTCGCCTTTCTCATCATATCGAACAGCAAACCTTCCAAAGAAGTGTATCCGATTATCATCGGAATTTGGTGGTTTTTACCGGCTTTTAGTATCTCGATCGGGTCCTCGTCCAGGAAAGCTCCCTCGTGCGGATACTCTATCACTGGACCGAACGGGCGCACCGTACTCGCCATAATATCCTGAAATACAAATTTTTGTAAAGTGGTTCCCAATGCGTCAAAAATATTACGTACATCTCCAAGATTATTCTGCGCTTTGACGATGGTCTTGCTACCAACTTTACGGAGCTTCTCCAGGAGTTCCTTCTCCGGGATGTTGGTTTCGTAGCCCATACCTTTAGCGATGTCTGCGGCATTTCTTCTGCCTCTTCCCCATGGGTTCAGGACGCACCCGCTTTGAATGATGGCTTTGTGGAACAAGCCTTTGGTTAGTTTGGATAAGGTCAAGTAATGGACGGAAGCCCCGCCGGCGCTCTGGCCGAATACAGTGACATTGCTGGCATCGCCTCCGAAATGGTGGATGTTTTTCTGGACCCATTTCAGGGCCATTGTTTGATCTTTGAGGCCCGCGTTGCCGGGAACGTTCAATGACCTGTCCTCCAAACTGAGGAAACCTTGAACATAAGAGACGTCAAAACAATTCTCTTATCTGAACCAGATATTATATTTATGTTTTTGTTGATTAAAATGTTATCAACAGAAACGAAGAATATGTAATGTACCTAAAACTCCTAATCGGTAATTTGGTATGACTAATACTATGTCTTCTGTTAGAAGGTAATGGGCTCCGAATAGGGTTTTTTTATTCGAACCGAAGACGAAACCGCCGCCGTGGATGAACACCATTACGGGTTTCTTCGAGGAGCTGCCGTCCGGTTTCGGCAACTGAAGAATAATTTCGATTATTCAAATTAATTAATTTATTTATTACTAGGTACTACCTCTTTCGTGTAGACGTTTAAGTTGAGACAGTTGTTTTGTTTGCCTACGTAAAGTTTGGGTACGATAAACATGTGAGGACACTCCGGTCCTTCTTTCGATCCGTCTTTGATCCCTTCCCATGGTACCGGAGGCTCCGGGTCCTTGTGGAATAACGATGATTAAGAATTAATTTGCGTGAGTTAAAATTTAAGTTAAAAAAATTAGATATTTTTTGCCCATTTATAATTTACCTAGACCTACTAACCTACTTGGTACTATTACTTAATTTTTTAAGTGGTATTTTAACTGGTACCACTTATCGAAATCCAATGCTGATGCATTTCTAATTTTAGTTAGTTATCTACAAACGTGTTTGAAATAATCTTTGATTTTTATGAAAAAAGTATTTTTTTTTAATTTATCGGTAGAAAAAAGTGTTGAATGGACTTTTTAAAAATTTGGTTTTACATTATCAACTATACAAATTTGCATTTAAAAATTTATGCTATCTTTTGAATAAACCAATAGATATGTAGGTTTTAAATATTAAGTAAAAAATAAATAATATGTAGGTAATTTTTTGTATAATTTCAAATAGTCCCGTTACCAATTATTTGGGACATTGTTGGGAACATAAAAAATAAACTAACTAAAAGTAACTATATCAAAAATTAAAGGGGCATAAACTTAAAGGGCTAAAAATTATTTTTTTTTCTCACCCTAAATCTCAATTCCCCGACAGGCGCCTTAGCGTACGGGATGCCGCTGAAGCTGTAAAATTTCCCTCCGTGATAATCCTTGCTGATTTTCCCTTTGACTTTCCCATTTTCCAGAGTTACCACCAAATCGTCCGACATATTTGAGAACCGGATATGCTTCTTTCAAACACTCAAAAATCAAACACTCCTAACCTTATCCATCGCTCGAGTGAAATCAGAGGACTTGGAACTCATTCGCTTATCGACCGCATTATGAAATATTTTTAAAAAACAATTATAAGATATATAATTCTTAATAAGTAGTAGTTTTATTCGGTTCATAGATAACGATGATAAAATAATCGTAAACGTAGAAGGTTCTTAGAATCTTGCATGAAGATAGTGTTACTTTGAATACTGATATACATAGGTAGTAATGTTTAAAAAATCGCTGAGTAATTGGAGAAAATTAATAATAATGCTAATGCAAAAATATTTTGTGTTGTGTGTATGAGCGGATTTTCGAACAGGACCGTACTTTGAATAATTCGTATGACTTTGATTTTAATTTTTGTAATCTACTAATCAATTAGGTGTAAAAAATGCAAGGGGTGAATTATTGAGAAAAAGTTTATTCAAAATGTTAAAATTCTAAAAAAAACTATTAAATTAAATCTCGACCTGTATATTTTTAACAATCTAAAAAGACCTTTTAAAATGCATGATACCTATGCATTCATTTCTGTTACCTGACCGCATGTTATGCGGTCGACCGGGCAAATGCAGCACTTTTGAGATATATTGCGATTATAGCCGGCCAAAAAATCATCCACTTTTACCCCGAAATATTTCCAAATATTCCATTTTTTTGTCCAGCAACAACTCAAAAATATGATTACTAACATTTAGCAACAAATAAAAGCTTCCCGTTCTAATAAAAACACCAGATTTGCTCTATAAAAAAACGACACATCATAGTACAAGAACAAATATTAAAACGTTTTTATTAGAAGAAAAAACTATGAATTTCCTGTAAAAAATATTAAATAAATTTCGTCCAGCTGTAGTATGTGATTGGCCCACCGCGTCCGGGTTCAATGCTATGCGAACCGACGCTACGGCTTGCGGTAGACGCATGCGTTCTGCGACGACAGACGTCGCCTGAAAACCGTTCGCGATTATCGCGATTGATAAAAGCGGCTCGCGGTCCACACGCGCCCATGAAGGCTCGCAAATACGTTAGATTGAAAATGGCGACCAAGTGCTATTTCAGCATCAAGGAGGACGAGAAGCTGGTGGAGAGCGTCTCCGCGTTTCCGGTTTTGTACGACAGCGAAGACAGGGAGTACAAGGATCGGTTCGTGCGGGACAATTGCTGGGCGCAGATATCGGCGATCGTCGAAAGGCCTAGTGAGTTGAATTCTGTTTTGTATATAGTTTTGTTCGGTTGAATTTCATACGAATTAACGTGTTTTCTATTAGACGTTTTATAACAAGTATATCAAGTGTTTTTAGAACTTAAATACAATCGACTTGTGTAATGCAGGTATAGAGTTTTTGATTTCCATGTAGAGCGTTTGGAGTTCAAACCCCGGTCGCGGTGATTATTTTTATTTATCAATTTTTTTGCAAATAAGTTTATAAAAACATTATAGTAGTAATCAAAAATTGCACTCTTGTATGTTTCAATTTACATTATAAACAACCAAATTTATAACAAATTAAAGCTACTTTTACAACCACATTACGATTAAATTAGTACCATTTCCAATAATTCTCTGGTGTTTACAGCTGATCAATGCAAGAAAAGGTGGCGCAATATAAAAGATACCTATTTGAAAGTCAAACGTAATCAAAAAAAGAGCAATTTCACCACCAGATCCAAATCTAAATGGGCGCTGCTTGACCAGCTTACTTTCTTGGATAAAGTTCCATTCAAACGAAGGTAAGATAATTCATAAATAATTACACCTCCACACCACCAATGATCCTATAAAACTAATATTGCAGGACCCAAAAAACGGAGGAAACGGTAAACTGCGACAACGAATCGAACGACGGCCACTCCGACTCCCCGGAGAACTCCACGGACTGCTCGGACCCCCTTCGGCCGGCGAAGCGATCGGCGTCGCCGTCGCCGTCGTCGAAGCGGCGCCGCGACGAGAACTTCAACGACTCGCCGGAGCTGCTCGAGCAGGACTCGCGGATGTCCGACATCCAGAACATCAGCTGGAAGAACGACGACGAGGACCCGGTGCTGCTGTTCTTCAAGAGCATGGCGCTGACGGTGAAGACGTTCGAGCCGCACCTCATACCGGAGGTCAAGTCGCGGATATTCGGCATCGTGAACGAGTTCGAGACGAAGGCGGTGCGGAAAAAGTGCGGCGTCGCCGATCGGACGAACGATTCGGACGAATCGCCGTTGGACGGACAGGTGTCCGCTTTTCACATCGAAAATAAATATTCGCTGTCGAGTTCGTTTCAAAACGACGTTAGTTAATGATAGATTCCTTCTAAAAACTTGTTCGATTTACGCAAATAAATTATACCACTATTTTTTACGAACTGTATTGTTCATAGAGTTTATGCAAGAAAGCTACTTGTTCTCTTTCTGCTTTTTCTTTAAACTCCAGAGTATTCCCTATTTCGAAAAGTTTATCCAACTTTGCATCCATCTAATGAGGCCATTTTGCGGAATTTGCTGTGTAATGCGAGTAGGCTGGCTGTTTTCTAGATGCCTTCTACAAATACTGTATCACCAAAAAGCTGAAAAAGATGGATTTTTTGGATTTAGCCTCGAATTTGACCGTTATTCGAAGTAGAAACTATTGTATTATCGAACATGTTAACGCTACATTCGGCTGTTACTAAGACACTATTGGACTAAATATATGGTTAACATGACCATCAATTACAAGCCATGTAACTGATTTTTAGTTAATCATTTTGTGTCCACAATTTTCGAGCAGTATGTAATTAAAAAAATAATCGCTATAATGTTACTTGAATTGTCAATTTTAAAGAAGCTAGGGATTAATTAAAATCATATTTTACACACAATAAATTTTGTTACTGACATAAAAATCACCATAATTGGAGTAGTTACTTCACTTGAACTCTCCTTATACGGCCGGCGTATAAAAAGAATTACATTTCTAACAGATCGTTCTTGTTCTTGTGTTTGTTGGCCTACAAACAACTGAGCCATATAATTTAGGCGACTTCTTCGAATAAAATAACTTTTATAACTACGAGTGGCTGGTGGCTGTATATTATCAATTCTAAACGCGTTGTTTCGATATAAAAGCGTTCCTTATTATTCATTAAATTTACATACATAAAAAACTTGTTGCACTTTAAACTATTTTTTGAAAATCCCGTAGGTAAATATTTTTTTTTCTCTCTATTGTTCAAAATTTCATAGTGACTGGAAAGAAGGAGAAAAACCCGAAAATGTAAGTAAAATAGTACAATTTTATTTTTTTGCGTAATTTACTTGATATATTAAAAATGATACTCAAATGCGAATTTCTGTAACGGCACAAAAAAACAAATTGCGATTTTTGAAGTTCATTAAGTACCTAATTACTAAAGCCGTGGAAAAACGTGGAAACTAAAACGTGGAAACAATTATGGCAAAAGTAGTGGATGCTGCAAATTATTACCAAAATATCTTTCTCCACCTTATCGCAAATGAAAACATAGAAAATTAAAATGTGCACCTTGTTTCAATTCAACGACCAATTTTTGTTTTAATCTAATGGGAAAATGTAGTAGCATTAAATGTACAAGTGTCAAGTATAGTTGACACAACTTACTAATTCGAGTAGCTAAATTTAGTACTTGTATGGTGGGAACAACTTGATTTAGTACTTCCACAAGTACCTAAGGTTCTAATTGTCTTGGTTTAATTGTTATATAGGATGATAATCTGGCTCTCAGCGACGGTATTAGTATTAATAATAATCCAGTTTTACTGGTCCAGACGACATCTTTATGCAGCTGCTGCAAAGATGAAGGGTCCCAAAGGTTTGCCTATATTAGGGAACGCATTAGCCTTCTTTTGCCGCTCAGAAGGTGAGAAATGAAGGAAACAATTACTGGTTTTATTAACTTGTTTTATTTTAGATATACTAGATAGAATCAAGTTCATATTCGAGTATATTGACAACGAACCCTCTAGAGTCTGGTTGGGTCCGTACCTTCTTATATCGTTGAAAAATCCCGTGCTTTTAGAGGTAAAAAAAACCGAAATTCATATAAAAAACTGGCTGTTGATTGTAGTTTGGAATTTCCAGAAAATTATGTCGTCGCAAAAATTTGCCTACAAACACGAATTGTACGTATTTCTGGAGAAATTTGCCGGAGATGGGCTTATTAGTGCATCAGGTAAAAAATATAATCGAATAAACTTTTCACTGAGAAAAGAAAAGCACAGAACCACTCCAGTTCTTTGTCATTCTCTTTACTAAAAATTCTACGTTTTTGAGGGTTGAAGCCCAACTACAAAGTCCACAGAAGAATCATCCAACCAATGTTTGATCTGAAATTCGTTACAAAAGCCATGCCAATTATTCATGGTCACATAAATATCTGCATGAAAAAATTCAGCGAGCTCGTTCACAAAGATTTCTTCGACGTAGAAAAAATTATTGGTCTTTGTTCCATAGACATAATCGCAGGTAACCCAATGTACTAATCAACTAACCTAAATAATCTAATTAACGATTGTTAAAGACATTGTGATGGGTAAAAAAGCGAATCTCCAACAAAAAGGCAACACGGGTTTCTGCAAAGTGAAGGAGTAAGTCACGTTATAAAAAGAATAATTTGGAATCTAAATGGAATTCCGTTGCAGGTTACTGAACATCGGGTTTACGAGGATGGTGAAAGTTTGGCTTCATCCAGATTTTATTTACAACTGGCATCCGTTGAAACGCGAACAAGACGACTCCTTGGCTAGCGTAAAAGGATTCATAAAGGAAGTTAAGTCGGAGTGCTTTAATTAGGCTTATCATTTTAGTTTCTATCCGTAATTACAGGCGATAGGTGACTCGAAAGTAAGAAGAAAATTGGACAAATCCGACGATGAATTTGTTCCTGTAGTAGACACGTTTTGCAAATTTTCTGATGAAAATCCCGACATTTTTACAGAAGAGGATTTAGTTAATCATTTAGTTACGTTACTAAGTGCGGTGAGTTAATTAATTATTATGTAATTAAGTAATTGAAAGCATTATAATTCCAGTCGGAAGATACGTTTTCAATAATATCATCGTTTACATTATTGTGCTTTGGAATGTACCCAGATTATCAGGTAAAATGCTATACAGTCCGATATAAATAAGATTCATAATAAACCTCTTCAACATATCTAGAATAAAGCTTATGAAGAAATTAAAACAGTCATTGGCGAAGAAAATCGTGAATTATCTGTAGAAGATATTTACAAACTCACTTATTTAGATATGTGCATTAAAGATGTGATGCGATTGTTTCCTATAGCTCCAGTAATTTTGAGAAGAACGATCGAAGATTATCAACTAGGTAATTTTTTAACGGCTTAATATTAATTTGTATATTTGATTCGTTTTTAATTCAAGACAAATGGGTGATTCCCAAGGGCGCAGCAATAGCAGTTCCGATATTTTTCCTGCACAGAGATCCCGAATTTTGGGATAATCCTGAGCATTTCCATCCGGATCATTTTCTACCGGATGTTGCGCAAAAACGCCACCCCTACGCGTTTATGCCCTTCAGTGCCGGACCTAGAGGTTGCATAGGTAGGAAGAAATATTTCAATTAACTAATAACATTTCCCGTCCTTCTTAACTTGCCCGTCCCTTAACTAATTATTTTGTTCGTTTATTTTAGGAAAAACACTGGCGAATATGGAAATTAAAATGTTTTTGGTAAATTTCCTGCAACGTTTCGAAGTCGAAGCCGAAGGTAAAGTACCCGATATAAAATTGAAAACTGACATATCCGTAAGAGCTAAAGATGGTTACAATTGCCGTTTGAAATTGAGAAAAATCCAATAAGTACTTTAATAAAATAGTATGAAAAACTAAGCTGTTTTGAAGTTAATAAAACTAGTATACGTATGAAGAAAATTACCTTTCATTCGTAGTAGTTAGACAACACAAAATACCCTGTTGTAAGGAATGTTGCATATGTACTAGGAATATAAAGATGAAGTTAGCAACGTTCCGCAGTCATCGTTGTATCGTTGTATGAAAAATGATAAGCGACATTTATGACAGGCGCGTTAATTTAAATTTTTGTTGTTATTAAATGTTAACTTTATCCAATTTTTATCGATTTACGTACAAAATTTACTGATGCTGTTATAGGTCTGTCTATTCACAATAGAATAAACTAGACCAATTTCTTTTCATCGACAATCGATCGAACGTAAACGCGTTATTAAAAAAAGAAATCATACTGCATTGTAACCTAGATACTTTCTTGTAAAAACAATCGTTGCAACCTACACCGCTCATTATCGATTCCGTTTTCATTTATTATTAAAAACGCGCCCGACCGAACTTCTCATTATCCGACATAATAAATTGCCGTTAAGTGCCTTTGTTCTTATGAATAAATAACGCACGGGTATTTTCCACCTGGAAATTATTTTATGAAATAATTTTTCCTCATTTCCGAACATCCATAATTCAGCGCTTTGAATTTTTAATATTTATATCGGTATAGTTTTAGACAATAAAATATTTAGGTAGGTACTTATGAAGCACCTGTACCTAATGTTGCGTTGTACGGCAGAATAAAAATATTTAAACTGGTGCATGTTAGGAATTTTAATCATAAAAGTATGAGAGATTGAAACATTACAGTACCTAACTGTATTTTGTAACGATGACGAAATAATCTACCAACTTACCACAAAAAACATTTCTATTAAAATGTAGAATAGTTTGTTCGTAAAAGAATACGAGTTACTATAAAGTATATACGCAATTGATTGAAATTTTCGATTACGTAAAAACATGGAATGGAATAATCCTCTATAAGTGTACAAAACAACAATACTTTTAGTTCAATTAAACCGACCGACTTCCGGAGATTATTTTTATACACCCATCAGCAATTCGTTTGGGTTGGCCTCATGCGCTTTACGGTTGGTCAGTTAGGCGTGAATTGCACGATCCCATTTCCCATATTGCCCATTTCCACAAGGGAACTCACGTCACCTAAATTGTGCCATAGGTAAAAAATTAATTCATATGACTAGCCAATAATGAGCAACTCTTAACCAAGACCAATTTGCTCTGATAATTTTCTCTCTACTTTTAGCAACACATTGCTTTAGCTTTATGTATTTTATTCAATTAAAACCTTCAATTTTTCAAGCTATTTTATCCCTTTGTGCGTTCCTTCCTTTTTGAAATAATCGAAAATAAACTACTATTCCAGTTTTTTGCGCTCTAAAAGGAAAACGTTACCCCATTGATCGGGTGGGCAAACATTTCGTAAAAAAACGAAATAAAAATTCAGAGAGCGATACTCATTCGTCCGTTCACTTCCTGAATATTTCACCGTCTTTGCCAGACCCGTTTTATTGCATGCCCGATGTCTTCCTGACAAAAATTTCACACTGCGAATCAAACGTAAATAATGAAATACCTTGACTGACCGGGGTTTTGTCGACTTTATTTCGTCGAATTATTTTATAGTGTTTTCGTTTTAATTGGACTGACGAATAGCGAGAACGTAGTAGAACTGTACAATAGATCATAGCAATTTGTGCAGCGTACGTGTTGAGTTATTAATTATTTCGATTTCTATTGGAAAAATTGGCAGTAAATGTTTGATACTTTTAAATTAATTTGATTCTTATTTCTAAAGCCACCAATAGTAATTCGAAACCTTAATTTCCAAACACAAACATTATTGTAATGAAATGGATTTGGAACAAATATTGGCTGTGTAGCAATTTACTTTTCGATTATTCCTGGAAGCTACATTACCACAGTAGAATATAATTTTATTGATTAGTTGAAATGTATTGAGTATTGGTTGCCATGGTTGAAATATTACGTTGATGTAACGGTGTTGGATGAGTAAAGAAGCGTTCGCATGAAAAAATATAACCCATAAAAATGTAAAATGAAGGATAGCCGAACGTAAAAACGAGCCATTACTTTTCATTTGAAATGTTTAATTTTCCGACTTTTTATCATTTTTTTTTTTCGAATAGGTACCTACTACCTCTCGGCTACTGGAGTAATTGTAATTATTTCGCCTGTCGAGCTGCTTTAATTTTTTTTAATGATTTTAACGAGGAATAAAAATTGATCAATTAAGTTTATAAATAAATTCTCTAGCCAAGTTTCCACATAGTTGTGCAGGTCCGTGTTTAAAATATTTACTTGCATTAATTTAGGGATTAAATTGTAATCCTATAGAAATGACATCATATAACTGAATACTAAAAAACAACTAGAAAACTTTGTAATTTACAGCCCTATTTAATCAGGCTCTAGAATTCCCATCACACTGGCTCCACTAATAGACAAACTTTTTGTTTGTTTGTATTATCCATTCCAACACAAATCGTTTATGATAAGTGCATGCGAATCGTTTATTTACAATTTATTGTTCTCACAAAAAAGTAGAATATTTAAGCAGCAGCAGGTGCGATTGATGGCCGTAGAGAAACTATCTCAAAGTCCGCGCGAACTTGTTACTTGGATAATCCATCGGAGGGAGATATATAGGGACTCAAAGTTCGCTATCGGCGTTTGAAATGCGGAATTACAGATTGAGATGACTTATTTATAGGACTAATGCTTGCGAAGGAAGTTCCAGGTCCTCGCTCCCGGTCGACACTGCCCTTAATTAATCCCAAGGAGCGAAATTCGAGAAAGGGATTTATTAAACGTTTCGTCTCTTTCGGAACGCACGGCGTTGCCAATTTAATTAAACTCAGTTCTGTTAACTGTTTAATACTAACAGAAAAAAGTTGATACAAGTTTAACCACGCAATAATCGGACCAAACTCACGTTATATTATTTTTTTATTGTCAATAAAACGATTCAACAACATCCTATACTCGCATTAAAACCAACTTGTCTTATGAATATTCCAGTGGCCCATTAACACGGAGACTTCTTAATCCTAACGATCGGCAACAGCGTAAAACAGACATTCATCATTTATATGGAGGTAGACAATAGCTGAAGCTATTGTGTGACAGCTCAAGCGTCGTCGTTCTAATGGCCTCAGTTCAGGTTTACATAAGCTAATTGGTCTTTCTCGGAATGAATAATTCCGCTCCCTTAATACCAAAAAACCGACTACGAAGTCAATCTGATTCGCTATACAGTTCGGAGGAGTTTTCCGAACGACGAAGCACCGGATGAGTTTATATTACTCGTATTTGCTCTTGTCCTAGATATACAGAAATTAGCCGATAACCAGAAGAAGCCAAGGATGATTGCTAATCCGCGTTGGTGACGACGAACAGAGATGAGTAGAAATTCTACGGAGTATTGTGATGATTCCTGATGCATCCAAGTTTCTTACAGAATGTTGAAAAAAAAACTGAAAGCAAAAATCCGGATTTTTGCCAGCCTTTGTCTTTTCAACGACACCCAAAATATTCAGAATCCTCTTATCAGAAGGATCTCTTCTCGCCAGCTTACACACACGTCGCCGTTGTGTCGAGCACCATTAAAAAAAACCCGAGAATAAAATTCCAAGTGGCGGATGCGCCGGTGTTTGCCAGCAATTGGCAAGCCTGTCGTCCGAAACAATGGAAGCACGCGGGTCTTCGTCGTTCCGCCGGATTGGTTTGTTTTTCTCCGGGGAAATCGTCTGAACAACTTTAAAATGTATGTACGAAACCGCAACCACTGTCAAGTGGTTTTATTCGAAAATCGCAACCTAAATTTAATCTAATGCATGTTTATTGAAAGTGGAAAAATATCAATACCTATTGCTTTCGTTAATCTTACCTATAATTGATTTAAACATTAATTTAAACCTTCAACAAGTAATCTTGAATGTTTCCTGTTCCTTCCAGACAAACGAGAACCCTCGTAATATTCCAAGGAACAAAGATGGCTGACGATTCCTTACGAGCTATTGATTCAATAACAACTCCGCAATTAACACTCAATAATTTAGTTGTTTGCTTAATACAAACATCAAACTTCAATTATTCCGACATTATGCATTGTTCTGGTCCCTGTTAGTTCCATTCTATTCCCTATCCGTCCGGACCGTTACGGTTATACATCGTTACTTATTCATTGTATACGGGTACTGCAATCTACGAACTGCATACGGGATCTTTGTTTGCTGATTTAAGTTTTAGTAATTGCATAATTTTAATACGAAACAAAAAAAATCGCCAAAATAAACAGCTATTTTGCTATTTATTTATTTGCTGCAGCTATTCGTATGGTTTGGACTCATCTTTTTAAATGATTCAGTTAACTATAAGCTATCTAAAAGGAGTCAATTATCTTATAGAGTCGTTTATATAACCAAGGGAGTTATATAGTGAACTAAGAACTTTAAATTAAGCAGAATGACAAATCTGCATCATCATCACACTTTTTGATAATTTTGCCAACTTATCCGCAATTTATAATTCACCCAGTTGTAATTCTATTTATAGTTAAACAGAATTTGAATCGAATTCCGAGAGATATTTTCGCACACAAAAAAAAAAATAACGCATGCGAGTAATTCTAATTTTATTTCCGGTTAACGTACAAGAAAATTTCGAACGATCGGTATCCAATCGGGCAAACAATCGCAGAGAGTTGCACGGGCTACAAAAAGTGGCAATAAATTATTCCAAACACAATATCGACGATGCGGAAGTTCCATATATCGAGTTTCCGTTCGTTTTCCCAAAACCAACCTATGCAATGTTTTTGTTACCATAGACCAGAGCTGTTTGTATACACTTTGATTGTTCATAGACGATACCAGTTACCTACTTTAGATGATTTGTTGTAGAGACAAGTCGTGTAAAAGTCTAAGAGAAGCTTCAAAATAAATTACAAAGGGATTTGTGTAGCATGAAGGTATAAAGCAAAAGCAAAAACTACAAGAGTCT